TGCACATCCCTCGACACTATGGGTAATTTAGCATGGCCAATCCACCCTAACCTGCACATCCCTGGACACAATGGAGCAATTTAGCATGGCCAATCCACCCTAATCTGCACATCTTTGGATTGTGGGAGGAAACCAGAGCAAACCCACACAGACACGGGGCTGGAATCGAACCCGGATCCCCGGTGCCATGAGGCAGCGGTGCTAGCCGCTGTGCCGCCCCAGAAAAGCAGAAGCACAAAAGGATGCCACTGTGCCCCAGCTCGCTAACCCGGGGCAGGCACAGGCTGGGAATTAAAACGCTAAACCCCGTGTGAGATCTCGAGCGAAACCGAGAGGCCCGGGAGCCGGAGAGACAGAGAGCTTCCTGCCAGGTGAAGCGCAGCGTTCCCAATTGGAGACAGCACCAGTAGCAACTGGTAACCATCAGCTGGCCTGTTTGTCCAAGGCAGAGTGTTGAGTTCAGATGCCTGACTGGGACCAGCTGTGTCAACGTCACCCAGGACTCCATGTGAATGTAGCACCGTACAGTCAATGCTTGCTGAGAGTCTCAGTTAGCGCTGCTGTGCTTCCTCCAGCTGTAAGCAAGCTGAAAACAAACACTGCATCAAACAGAAGGTGACGGCCTAGTGGCATTATTGCTGGACTGTTAATCTAGGAACCCAGATGCTGTCCTGGGGACCCAGGTTCAAATACCTGCCGCAGCTCGTGCTGGTATTTAAATTCAATAAGGAATTAAAGGATATCATTGTGGGGTGTTGCTGGCTGGGCCCAGCCCTTATTGCCTGCCCCTTGAGAAGGCAGTGGTGAGCTGCCTTCTTGAACCGCTGCAGTCTGTGTGCTGTAGAGACACTCACAGTGTTGTTAAGGAGGGAGTTCCAGGATTTTGACTCAGCAACACTGAAGGAACAGCGATATATTTCCAAGCTAGGACGGTGAGTGGCTTGGAGGGGAACGTGCAGAGGGTGGTGTTCTCATGTATCTGCTGCCCCTTGTCCTTCTAGATGGAAGTGGTCGTGGGTTTGGAAGGTGCTGTCTGAGGATTGTAATGATGACCGTGAATCCATTGTCAATTGTCAGAAAAACTCATCTGGTTCACTAATGTCCTTTAGGGAAGGAAACTGCCATCCTTACCTGGTCTGGGCCTACATGTGACTCCAGACCCACAGCAATGTGGTTAACTCTTAACTGCACTCTGGGCAATTAGGGATGGGCAATAAATGCTGCCCTAGGCAGTGATGCCCACATCCCATGAATGAATAAAACTAAAATCTATAGCAGGACTATCCCTGAAGCTTCTGATTATTGACGATTAATCTCCAGTCTAGTGCCGCTTGTAATTTTGAAGAAAAATCAAAGGTTTAGCAACTGCTTGGCTTTTAGTAGCCCCTTCAATGTAGCAAAAAGTCTGTGTTATGTAAGGGCAGATCGAGGCAGATCAGGGAAAACCGATTCAAAGGGGTAGAGTTTTAAGCAGTACGCCAAAGCAGGAGAGGGTAGCCGGGAGGTTTATAGAATCATGGAATCCATACAGTTTGGAAGCAGGCCATTTGGCCCATCAAGTCCACACCGACCCACCAGGAGAGCTTCGCACCCACACCCATCCACAAGGCAGTTGGTGGAATTTTAAATTCTCCTTAATCTGGCATCAAAAGACAGTGTCAGCAATGATGACCATGACATTACCCTGCCAGTTCACTAATGCCCTGTAGAGAGGCCAATCTGCTTTCCTTACCTAGTCTGGCATACAGGCTGCTCCCAACTGCCCTCTGAAATGGTCGAGTAAGACACCCAGTTTGGGGGCAATTAAGGACCCCCTCCCCCTCCTCATGCCAGGAATCAGTGGAGTGAGCCTGCTCTGATCTGCTTCTGAAGTAGTTAGGCCATTCCCTAAGTAAGGAGACACAGCTGTACCCTCACCAACAATCTATGCAACTTCAGCAAAACATCTCTAACATTCCATCCTCCCTGCAACAAGCACCAACATTTCATTTGCATTCCTAATCTTATGATAGAATCCTACAGTGCAGGGGCAGGCCATTCAGCCCACCACATCCCTCTGAAGAGGAGCATCCCACCCAGACCTGTCCCATCTCAGTCACCTTGCATTTCCCATATTTAATCCACCTAACCTGGATATCCTTGAACACTATGGGGCAATTTAGCACGGCCAATCTACCCTAACCTGCAGACCCCTGGGCACTATGGGTAATTTAGCACGGCCAATCCACCCTAACC